TTTTTCGTGAAACTCGGATATGTTGTTGGCACGGAGGAGAGCTACAAGATCATATAAAAATTTTCAATATCCGGCAAAGTTGGCGGCGGCGGGTGGCGGGTGGCGGCGGCGATCCGGCGGGCGAGACAAAATTGCAACACTTAATAAAAGTTAGGTATTTTTTTGCCAAATTGAAAAAGTTGAGTTTTATTTGCAATTAAACAAAAGGTGGTGGTTTTTTATGCAATTAACCCTTATATAAACAACAATAATTTTTTTTAAATTTATTTCTAAGTACTTATAATGAAAAATATTAAATATCTTTAACAAAATTATCCAATAAGATAATTATTTCATAATTTACATTTATGCAAAAACTTAATGAAATTTATTTTAAAAGATACATAATAAATTTTACATAATTATATCAAAATACAAAATGATTTGGAGTTTTAAATTGAAAAGTATAATGTAAAAGTAGGCTTTATATTGAAAATAACTTAAAATTGAAACTTTCAAATAAAAAAGTTAAAAATTTAAAGCTTATTGTGACACAATAATAAAAAATCCAGTCTTACAATAAAATTTCCCGTGAAGAAAAAATACAAAAGATGTATCAATTATCAAATGCAAAAGTAAAAATCTCTCTTATTTCTTATGTAGATAACTAAAGAGATGAAATAATTGTTTTTCACTTTAGATGGACTAATATTTTCACCGTAAGTAATAAATTAACTTTATTATCCACGAAACAAATTATACGATAAACTATGCGACATACAGTCAGACGGAGATAATTGATAAAGTACGAAATATTGATGTGATAAACTATACGATAGACAAACGATAATATTTGATAAATTGCGAAATAAAATTATGTGATAAATTATACGACAACGAGGCAAAAATAATTGATAAAGTACGAAAGAAGTTGTGCCATAAATTATTAGACGAACAGGCAAAGTACGAAACTAATTATGTAATAAACTATGTGTCGTCAAAGCGAAGATAATGGATAAAGTAGGAAACAAATTATGCGATAAATTGTGAGACAGACATGCGAAAATAACTAATAAGTACGAAACAAATTATGCGATAATCTATGCGACAGAAAGACGAAGATAATTGATAAAGTGCGAAATAAAATGCGATAAAATATGCACCATGCAGGCGAAGATAACTGATAGAGTGCGAAAAAACTTATGTGATACACTGTACGATAGAAAGGCAAATATAACTGATAAAGTGCGAAACAAATTATGCACCAGATAGATAAAAATAATTGGACATGTGTGAATTATTTATGTGACAAACTATGCGACATACAAGCTAAAAAACAAGTGCAAATTGTTTATGCGATACACTATCTGACAGATATGCGAAGATAATCGAGCATAATGAGAAATACATATGCGATAAACTATACAACATAAATGCAAATTAATTGAGAAAGTTCGAAATAAGTATGCGATGAACTAGCGACAGCCAGACGAAGTTAATTGAGCATGTGCGAAAAAAATAGGCGATAAACTATATGTGACAAAAGGGCGAAAATAATTGAGCAAGTTGAAAATAATTATGCGGTAAACTATGCGATGATAGACAAAGTTAATTAAGAATTTGCAAAATAAATATGTGATAAACTATACGACAAAAAAGAAAAAATAATTGATCAAATGCGTAAACATTATGCGATAAAATATGTAATAGATAGACGATGAATATGGGTCTATTTTTTTTTTTAACAGTTCAATCAAATGGGGGTCTATCTCATATTAGTCGCATATCAGCTTCTTTTAACTAATTTTTTTTTTTATTTTTTCATTAATGTATATGTTTATTAGGCGAATTTTTGTATGCATAACTAATCGCAGAATAATTTATTCAACTTTTTTTGGTAATTTCGTACTTTGCGATAATTTCTTGATAGTTGTTCTGACACATATTTGTCGGGTGGTTATATTTTAACAGAAAAAAAGAATAAAATATTGTTAACATTTCAGAAACAAAACTGCATTCAATGAGATTGCACCCGATTTACAAAATCCTGAATATTAAGAACATCGCGTAGTCTTATACTAGTTTAAAAAAGACTGCATAGCTGGAGATATAGCTAGATATTTGAGATATTTGGAAGGTCCTCATGGAAGTAAACATGTCTATTAAGAATGAATGAAGATTTGAAGACAAAAAAAATAAATAAAAGAAAAATAGAGTTTTTGTACAAAATGTGTATGTTTATTAAAAAAAATATCGTACTTTTTAAACAGTATAAATTCCCTTTATATATAATTTCCGAATATGCTAAGCTTAAGTGGCAGAGTTGTATCCTTCAACATCCTATGTGGCAAAAATTCATGCTTCATGGCTTGAATTGATATTAATTTACTTCCAATCCAAAAATAATTAAGTTTGGATTATCCATAAATATGCTGATTATTTAGTCATTTTAGATGTATTAATTATATTTTAATATCATTTCATTTTATAACCATTGAATTGCAAATGTGTCCCAAAAGTTAATTTTAATCGGTTTTACACACATAATATATCAAATTAATTATCTCTTGATGAGCTTCGATTTGACATTCATACCGTATGCATAAAATAAACAAATTATATTATCTTAATAATAATAAAATTATTTATTAATATTATTAAAAAAAATTAAGTTATTCCAATTAATATATTTATGTTTTAAGTAGTTATATGACATATGTTAGAATAATTATTAGAATATAACACAGGTAACTTGTGCAAGTAACAAATTGCATTCTAAAATACATAATAAAATATCATTTTTGTAAACAGTATTTAAATTTTAAAATATGGTAACAAGTTTCATTCTATAATATATATTAAAATATATTTTTTGTAAACAGTATTCAAATTTTAAAAATATTTTTTTCTCATTGACTTTAAGAATAATTATTTTAACAGACACTCGTGTACCACACAAGTGTTTGTACTAGTATTTAATAATATAAGTATATTTTCTTTCACATGTGTTGATTAGCCAAACAATTGCCACATGTGGTACATTATATTTTTTCCCTTTTATTTTTTTTTTTTTTATTTACTTAATTTATCTCATAAGTTTTGATTTGTCTATATAGATGAAAAGAGTAGTGGAAAGAGTAATATGAACATTTGTATACGTTTATTAGGCGAATTTTTGTATGCATAACTAATTGCAAATTAATTTATTCAATTTTTTTTTTGTAATTTCGTACTCTGCGACAATTTCTTGACAGTTGTTCTGACACATATTTGTCGCGTGGTTATTATTTAATAGAAAAAAGAATAAAATATTGGAAACGTTTCAAATACTCTACGAAAAACTGTATTCAATGAATACTAATGAGATTGCACCTGATTTACAAAATCCTGAATCTTAAGAACATCGCGTAGTCTTATACTAATTTAAAAAAAAAATTACATAGCTGGAGATATAGCTGGAGATTTGAGATATTTGGAAGGTCCTCATGGAAATAAACATGTCTATTAAGAATGAATGAAGATTTGAAGACAAAAAAAAAAAGTTTTAATTATGTGGAGCCTCAGTCTTCACACGAAGTCAGAACACAAGAAGGTATTA